ACCCATGATCGTTTTTGTTTTGTTTAAATTTTCATTAGATCGCTGATAGATTGGGAAAAGAGGCCAGACCCATAGCTGTGTATTCATCAGACCTCAAGCGAGCTAAAGACACAGCTCTCATGATCGCGGAAACTTGTTTTTGTCCCGAGGTATGTAAATCATGAAAAATAGGGTTCCAAAGTTGTAGAAGTTCCCATTTTTTTGTGTAGTTTTCTCGAAATTTAAAAAAAAATTATATATGATTTTTCAAAGTTCGGTATGTTAATGAATATATGTATGTGTTCAGGTGATTGAAGTAGCAGATTTAAAGGAGAGGCATGTGGGTATTCTCCAAGGACTGTATTGGAAAGAAGGAGCAGAGAAAGAACCTGAAGCTTACTCTGCTTTCTTCTCTTCCCAAAATGGCCTAGAGATTCCTGTAAGCTTATTTTATATTTTATCACAATCTTCTCTATATAATTCATTTACTTAATACTTAACATGGGCTTATTTGGAATGCATATAATAATATACAAATCAAAAAGGGAGGAGGAGAGAGCTTTGACCAACTTTGTGACAGATCCATGAAGGCTCTTGAGCAAATTGCAAAGAAGCACAAAGGTATATATATATCTAAGCCTTTTTTGATTATTAGATATTTTTCTAAAAAGGTCAAATTTTGTGGGATCAAAATTAGCATGTTCTTTCTCATCTCTTGACTAGTAGCTAGATATAAATAAAATCAAATAGTATATAGAGAGGTGAAAAAATAATTATATGGTTATAATTACAATTTAACTAACACGTTGCGTGTGCATGTGGAATTGAAGGAGAGAGAGTGATAGTGGTGACTCATGGAGGAGTGTTGAGGGCAATTTACTTGAGGATTACGCAAGCTTCCTCCGCCGGAAAACTCCTCAATGCTTCCGTGAACGTTGTTCACTTCCGTGGGGACGGTAAATGGACCATCGATTCGTGGAGCGATGTTTCGCATCTCTCCTCCGTTGGATTTCTCCAACGTGGTTTTGATGGAGACGCCAAGCCCTAGAGAGTAAATCATCTATCATCCATTCTTTGGATCTCCATAACTGATTATGTCGATCGGGAGGCCTATTCTATGTACTTATTTGATGTTCATGTGTGCTTTTTTTTAAAGATGTGTTATCGACCGATGTTCTTGTGGAAAAGTTTCTATCTTCTTGTATTTTGTGTAAATCGATAAATTAAAAGATTTATCCAGTTAAGAGTCTTCAAATCAACTATTTAATTTCTTCTTTGAGATCTAAAACAAGACAAAATAACGGTTTAAGAAACACCCTTTTTCAACAATCTTTGTATTTTTACTAATTTATCTTGCATATATTCTCGATTACTAAGAACTAAGACATGTTATACAATTAAGATGTGAATCTGATTATGATTGATTAGATCTACAAGTGAATTGTATAAATCTTATATTGAGGCTTTTCCTTACATGTATACAAAGAAATTTCATGATTGAGACCTTTAACGTTTCTTGGTCATGCTTCTTGCCTCATAGAAGTTATCTCTTCTTGTGATGCCTAATGCTAACAACTTATTATAATAAGAGCCTTTTTTTTTCTATGAACATATATGGTTCCTGTAATTTTGGTTTGATTCTTGAGGCTAAAGTAACAAAAGAGTTCCAACGGAGAAAGCCCATCAAATGCATTTTGAAATACCATACAACTTTTACACCGAAAAGATAATGTGGTTTAGTTTCGTTAGGCCAGAGGAAGAAATCAAACATGATGGCCTCTAACTAAAATATCATCTAAAGCCATAAGGCAAAATCTAATGTCCCTTACCGAATGAAGAAATATTTAGAGACCAATAATCTCAAGCGGTTTCCTGTTATATGTCGAGCTGCTGCAGATTCATCCTTGTTGCTGAATTTCTGATAAGTTCTTTACGGACATCGACCTGAGATTAAAAAAAAAAAACAGTAGTGTAGATCAATCAAATTGCAGTTAAGCGTCTGAGTGTCTGATATCGACCCAAGAAAAAAAAATCAAAAAGGAGTTGGAAATTTGTAGGCTTACCCGAGCACCCATGAGAGACGAGATTGTCATATTTGCTTGGGCTATATCATCGACGGTTAGTTGCTTCAATATCCTTGTTTCTGGATTCATAGTTGTTTCCCAAAGCTGTTGCGGCATCATCTCTCCCAAACCTGTGAAAACATAAAACAAACAACACAAGTTTGCTTAGTTTGCAATGTTCCTCATATCACAAAGCTCAGTTTTTCGTTTAAAAATATTTACCTTTGAACCTTTGGATGTTGTATGATGCGTTTGCAGGGAAGGTGGCGGTGATTTTCTTAAGGTCAGCTTCATCATAGCAATATTGTGCATTTTTTCCTCTCTCAACCTGGTTGTATTCAAAGAGAAACGGGTTTTTTTGGTAAGAAATTCCTAAATCTAAAGCAAAAATGTGTTGGAAGATCATAAAATATTAAACCTGCCTTGTAAAGAGGTGGAACAGCCACGTAGATGCAGCCTGCATCGAATAAAGCTCTCTGTAGAAAAGAAGTATTAAGTCAAGTTTACAACAAGATACACTACGCCGACTATCTGCTTAACCGTAAACTAATATACCTGGTATCTGAATAAAAATGTCAAGAGAAGTGTCCGGATATGTGCACCGTCAACATCCGCATCTGTTAAGATAATAACCTTATGGTACCGCAAATTTTCCAACTTGAAATCTTCTCCCTGGAACCAAAGTTATTTATAGCATTTGAGTTTTTCCATAAATAGCCAAAAGAGAGAAAAGGAAAAACATGAGATGGAAGAGGGATATCTCTCACCTTCATCCCGAGGCCAAGGCCAAGAATTAGATTTTGAATTTCTTCGTTCTTATACATGGCTGCTTCATCCTTTCTTTCAACGTTCAGAATTTTACCTCTCAAAGGAAGAATTGCCTACATAAATCCAAGATATGTGTTACACACTGAAAAAAAAACGAAGCACGACACGCTGTCACCATAGAGACACAATTCAATAGAGGTAGAAGCGTGATTACCTGAAAACGTCTGTCCCTGCCCTGTTTTGCACTGCCACCAGCGGAATCTCCTTCGACTATAAAAATCTCTGGAGAGGTTGCAAAAGAGATTTTAACAGTTATAAAGGCATAACTAAAGCATATGGCTTCCTTTTTTAAGTTCTCACTTTGGATGTAAAAAGATCAGATTTTTTTCCTGGCACGTTTAGCTTTGATTGGTTATACAAACGACATTTTCATGCTGCAAATACATACCGGATTCTTCAGGATTTTTTGATGAGCAATCAGATAGCTTCCCAGGAAGTGTTGACGACTTCAAAACGCTTTTCGATCTAACCAACTCCCTTGCTCTTTTGGCAGCCAAAGCAGCCTGAAGAGGGAAACCATGGTGAGGTAAATTTTCAAAGTAATTTGGTTGAGAGTTAGCAACACACACATTAATTATGAACAGAGCGAGCAATAGATAACAAAATGACCTAGAAAGCAATACCCTGAATCATGGAAATATAAAGCCAATTACAGACTGCTGAACATTTGGTGTTTGCGATTGAGTGCATACTTGTAGGTGAATATGCAGAAGTATTGATGTGTGCATCAGAAGCATACCTTGTATGCGTTAAGGGATTTGGAAATAATGCTTTCAAGTACATTTGGATGCAATTCCAAATACTCTGTGAGATACTCCTGAACTGATTGGTCAACAATTTTTCTCACCTCTGGATTTCCTAATCTTGTCTGCAAGAAGAGAAGGGATTTGGAGAAATTATATTAGTGGGGGTAAATTTCCACAAATGAGACTGAATTAATTGCTCCATGTTGACCAGATATCATCACAAAAAGACAAATCACTATGGGTTCAAGTACCTTTGTTTGACCTTCAAACTCAGGATTAGGAACCTTGACTGAGACAATACAGGTCAATCCTTCTCTAACATGTTCCCCACTTAGGCTAATATCCTTCTCCTGAAAACACAGCCAAGAAAAATATATATACAAATTAAACAGGATTATAAAGATACCAAAAAAAAAAGCATTTAGGAAGTGCTGCCTGACACCGCAAACAATAAATGCTTAAATCAGCGCAAAAGCAGCATCTATAACTTGTCACTTTTCTACAATTCAACAATGTGTATATTGTTCATGTCCGTAAATACATGGAGGAACTAAGAACGTTTTACAGTTGAGCCTACTATAATTTAAAATGCACAGATATTCAGTCCACCGAATCATCTCAGAAGACTAGCCAATATATGATCATGAAAAAAAGTAGTTGGAAAAGCCCATGAGATTTTCATGAACAAATGAGGGGAGAAGATAATGGCAAAAATGGTCAAAACCTCGTAGGAATGGAAACAGAAATAGCCACATAAGCTAAGCAGGTTACCGATGTCATACCTTAACAGCCTTTGAATTTTTTGCAAGGGTATTAAGAGTCCTTGTTAATGAAGCTTTCACACCTTCAATATGTGTTCCACCATCAATGGTGCGAATGCTATTGGCGTATCCCAGCATTGTGTCTGAATATGCATCTGAGCACCTGTTACAAAACGTGCCAAGCCAATAATCAATTTAGAAGTCATATAACATGTGTGTCTTTGTGTTAAACAAATGACAGCACGTCCAGAATGACATGAACAAATGTTTACCACTTTTAAGATCCAATTTACATGTAAAAAATAAGAAATCATACAGCCAAAGTGTCCAGCTTTGTGGGTCTGGAAAACCCGGGCAGATTATTTCGTAACGGGATACAAGTTGGATAATATAATGATGTATAAATAGGAAAAAAAAACATACCACTGAAGGGCAACGTCAATGGTGGAACCATTTACTTCTTTTCTGAAACTCAGCACGTCATGAATCGGATTCTAAAAAAAAAACAATGTCAACTAATCTTTTCAAGTAAACGTAGTAATACAATAACTAGAGACATTCATGCATAAGAGTTTTCACTTCTGTATAAATTGAGTTAATAATAGTCTATAGACATACTAGTTAGTATAAAGCCCTTGATAGCAATCACCAAATCCGATAATAGTGCTCAGCATATCTTTCTAGCTTGTGTTAACAGAGAATGACATTCATTGATATCACTGCATCTGATTTTGTTTCACAACTTAAATAAAGAATCTAATAAGCTTCATACACCCATAAATCGTGATTTCAATGAGTAGATTCTCACCTTATCAGTATTTAGCCAACTAACATACTCAGTTAATCCTCCAGCATAAAAATATTCAGTATATTGGTTCTTCTCAGGATCATCATCCTCTTGCTTTAGAGCGATGGTAACCTGCAAGCATAAAAATATACCACTTCGTTACGACAAAAGAATCAAACAACAACAGCCTCTGCCAAAAGTGAACAAGCTAAACTATATGACTTCTCATGTCTTGATGAAAAGTTGTCATGGTTGACCTTGCTTTAAGTAAAGTAATTTCACCTTTGGATTCAAAAATGCAAGCTCCCTGATTCGTCCAGCAATAGTGTTATGGTCGAACTCGATTGCAGTTGTGAATACTGAAAAACAGTTCATTCCATAAAGGAAACATTAATCATCAAATCCAATTTTGGAGAGGGTCAAGTAGTAAGGGTGGAAAACAGGTAAAACCTTCTTTGTCAGGCCAAAATCTGATGCTTGTCCCTTTAGTCCCCTTTGACTCTAGCGGGAGGACACGGCACATAAGTGAAGTTACAGGCTTTCCACGAGAATACTTTTGCTTATGCTCCATCCCATCTCTCCAAACTGTGACCTCCAGGGTCTGCAAACCAATTGATAGAGGAAGCTCTCAAGTTAGCTTTACTGCTAATTATAGTCATCTGCTGGAATCAAATTTCAAGTCATTCCAAATGTCCTGCAGTTCTTATAGTGGAAGAGTGTCTGACATCAATTAACATTCCAAATTTTTCCTTGTAACAATCCCATAGTAGCCTAAGGTTTTTCACAAATCATCGAAATGGGATACAGAGACCATATTTATTTCCAAGGGGAAAAAAGAAGCAACGTGTGTAGAGATAAGAACACACCTCAGACAAAGCATTTACAACTGATAAACCTACACCATGCAATCCACCAGATACACTGTAACCACTACTCGTGCCACCAAACTTGCCACCTGCATGTAAAACCTGCACAAATAACAAGCATGAACAAGCCGAGACAATTCGTGATCTAATAATAGTATGATCATGAAGCTCTAAATAAACTGCAGAACCTCATCAAAAGTCTAATCTATAACATAGAAATACCATGAATATATAATAGTTATCTTTAGAGAAGTAATACCGTGAGTACAGTCTCCAGGGAAGATTTCTTTGTCGCAGGATGCAAATCCGTCGGTATCTGCAAGAAACCTCTATATATCAACGACAATTACAAAATGGTAATAGATTATGGTTCACATATGTGGTTGCTCTCCATGTGTAGGTAGATATAAGGTTGGAACATATGACATACCCCACGTCCATTGTCCATAACACTGACTGAACCATCTGAATGCAGAACAACATCAACCTTTGAGGCATAACCAGCTTGAGCCTCATCAATTGCGTTGTCTAGTATCTCATAAACCTAACAAAAGAAGATACATTAGAAAAACATAAACAGATTGAGTCTCATGAATCCAATCAAGGGATTTCAAAAGGATAAAGCATTTAACCAGATGGTGCAAACCACGAGGTCCAGTGCTTCCAATATACATTCCTGGCCGTTTCCTGACTGGGTCCAAACCTTCCAGCACCTAATGTATCATCACAGAGAATCAGAAAATATAAATATCGAAACCAAAAGAATGACTTGACACAACCCATAGTAGAAAACAAAATGTTTTCCAACTATGAAGCTCAATATTGAACTTGAATTACTTGAATTTGCTCAGAACCGTAACCCTTAGATGCAGCACTCTCTTGGAAAGCCTCGGTGGACATGGTTGATGACATAAAAGACCTCGATGAAATTGCATTTCTTTGTATCAGCCTTTGACCCAAAGCACTAGTTGAATGAAACTTTATCCTGAAATTGACGAACCCATTTCCTCTGTTAGTCACATTCTACAATAGAATCAGGCAGAGAACCGTAAAGGTAGCGGAATATTCACCTAAACCCATAAGAACCCAGAACCGTATGAGTACAAAGATAACACTCAAAATGCAAAATTTCGCAGCAATCTTAGGGAAATTGAGAGAATCCAAGGAAAGGTTACCAATTTACACGAAATTTATAATAACACAAGGCGAGTAAGCAAAACCCCATGGAAAGGAGGAAGAGCGGAGCGTGAACCTGGGACTTGGGGAGAAAAATG